TTGGAAGAAATTTGCCCTGATAATAATCACTTTCGAATGCACACATCAAATTCTGAAGTTGAACTGTGAAATGATGTTGGAATGACAAATGAAATAAATCCTGAACAAATATTGAATATCGGCGTTAGTTATGATGGATCCTGGCATACTCGTGGCTTCAAATCTAAGCATGGAATTGGTTGCGTTATCGATTTGGAGAGTGGACTGATTGTTGACTTTGATGTCATGTCAAAATTTTGTCAGGCTTGCAGTATTGCAACTGCCGAATTAGTAGAAGTTTCTCCTGAATTTATATGAGGCAACAAGGACATGCTAATGATTGTCAATGCAACCACTCTGGCTCTTCAGCTTCCATGGAACTAAAAATATCAGAAAGTATTTGGAGACGTTCGGAGTCGTATGGTTTCCGATTTACAACAATACTTTCAGATGGGGACGCTAAAACTTTCAATCACTTGCTTAGTCTGAATATATATGGAGACGATTTCGAAATAATCAAAGAAGATTGCGTGAATCATGTCGGAAAGAGGTAAGTAACATATGATTTATTTCTGAGTTCGATTCTAATTATATACAGGACTGACAAATACTGTGGTAGAGGAAAGAGCACGAAAAAACACACTTGGGGGAAGAGGACATGAACAACTAAAGCAGTCAACCATACAAAAGCTTGCTGAATATTATAAGAAAGCCATATATTCAAATAAGGGCGATATTCAGGTATGTATTTATTCATTTCTTTTGTAATCTCAAATAGTCTCAAGAAGTGAAAAATCCTTAGATATAAAATTGACTTAGATTCTTGAATGCATTTGAAAATCAAAAAACTTACAAATTGACAGAAAAATTCAAAAATGCGCGAAGAATTATAGCTCTGGCACAGAGCAACAGAGAGAAAATTTTGATAGAAGATGAAGGTACAACTTACGCAGCGGGCATGTTCTAGAATGTGTACAAGAATGTATGTGTGTACCTGTGTATTGAGAATGTATGTATGTATGAATGTCGTATATATGTATGTATGTATGTGTGTACCTGTGTATTGAGAATGTATGTAATAATGAATGTACGAATATATGTATGTATGTGTGTATGTATGTATATATGTATGTGTACATGTATGTATGGGTGTATTTATATGAAAAATAAAAAAGTAGTTGAAAATATAACGTATTTTATGTAATATTTCTCATATTTTTATCAAAAAAGTGGAACTAGTTCTACAATTTTTAATATTTTTTCACAAAAATTTTTTTACATGCTTTTGACACGACTCCCTACAATCAATCGTATGGATTTTTGAAAATTTAAATTTTCGTGAAAAATAGAATTTTGAAAATGGCGGAAAATTTTTTTTTTTTAATTTTGACACTATATCTTGATTTTAGAACCTGAATTATGCCAGAAAAAAAATTGGGACCTCTCAACGACGTAAACTTCAAGGGGTTGAAATTTCACAGGTCCCTCCCCTTAACTTGATTAACACATAGTTCTTGAATTAAGAATTTAGTATTTGGCAGAAGTAAATATGTTATTATACCAACCCAATATTTTATTTTTTCGAAATACCAAAAAGTATTCAATCAAGAATATTATGTTCTTAAGCAAAATAATAAAATATTGTCTGAAGAATTTTCATTTCTTGAATCAAATAGTTTTATTCATTTTCTTTGAATTCATTTTTTATTGAATACAAATCCCGTATTCTTCATCCAAGAAAATATTTCTCTCCAAATGGATATAAAACTATAATAGGAGTTTTTGAAAATCGTCAATTGAGTCAGGATGGCATAGTGGTCTACGAGTGACTATATACACCGCAGTGAGAAGAGAAACATTGTCATGCGAAAGTAAGAAACTTTACTCATCGAGGAGTGAGTGAAATCAAGATTGCCAACCTAGAAGACGTGTTGGTAAGGTAGGTATTGAATTTTTTCTTAAGAAACAATAAGAAACTATTCAATACCTACCTTACCAACACGTCTTCTAGGTTGGCAACCTTGATTTCACTCACTCATCGATGAGAAAAGATTCTTACTTTTCGCATGACAATGTTTCTCTTCTCACTGCGGTGTATATTCACTACTTTACAGCTTCTGGTGCGCGCAACCCGGGTTCAGTTTCTCGGACCGTGAAAAATTTTCATTGAAGGTATACTTATTTTAATTGTGTTAAGTATTAATTAAATATAAATATGTATGTAAAATAAACATTATTTAAATAAATAATAAAAAATATCAATGTTAATAATAATAAATAAAAATGTTTGACTTAAGAATTAGACATGGTGGGATGAAGAAGGGGTGTAGGAGGGGGGGGGTAATTCAAGTAAATATTTACTTGTATTGGAAAAATATTTTTTTTGTTGAACTCCATAAGTTTTCTCAAGTCAAGAAAATATTTTCTTGATTTAATATATGAGGCATTTCATATGAGAATACGGGGTCATGTCTCAGATTTTTCTCAAAATTCGGTAAATTGTAGTGATAGTGGTGCTAAATAAGTGTACAAATTTGGAATTTGAAATTTTTAATATTTTTCGAGATATTTACAATAACAAATTTGAGCAATAATTTTTTGCTTTACTTATAACTTTTTCCCTACTAAAAATAGAGAAAAATGTTAAAAATGTTTTTTACGCAATATTGTTTAAGTCATAATAAATTGATGGTTAAATTTTTGAGATGGCATTATTTTTTGTTTTCCAGATATTAATTAATTAACTAACAAAAGTTAATAAAAAATGAAATATTTTACGAACAAATAAAATTAGAGTAATTTTAGAAACACCATTAGAATGCTTATCAAAATCCGTATCAAACGAGCCCTATATGAACTATTTCTAATAAACGGGTGTTAAATTAATAAAAAATAATAAAAATTATTTAAATAATTAATAACATTTAAGGAAATGAAGATAAACTGGCAATTCTTTTTTTATTTGGAAGACCATCTAATTCTGTGTCAAAAAAAGAATATTAAGTATTACCAAGAATCAAAAATTAATTATAAAATGTTATTTAGAAAAAGACTGAAAAATACCATGCCGAGTAAATAGGCAGCCCCCTCCAACTTGTGTCGTAGGGTGCTGAAACCTCAATTTTCAATAATCATCTGTTAATAATTTAGATTTGTTAAAAATGTTATTTACACTGGTTTTATTTAATACAGAATTAGATGATCTTCCAAATAAAAAAAGAATTGACGGTTTATCTTCATTTCCTTAAATGTTATTAATTATTTAAAGTTTAGGAAGTTGTCTTGAATTTCTCTACAATTCTTATAGAAATACTGCTTAGAATTTTTCAAAGAAAATATAAATAAAATTTCTTAAATTATTCTCATATCCTCAGTTCCTGAACAAATTTAGGAATGATTCTTGCACAAAGTTTTTCCGTGTGAGTTTTGAAAGTAACCGAAAACTTAAGTAGTTTTGATCCGGAGTATGCGAGATACGTACATTCTGCACTGTTCATAAAAGTTAGTTAACTTCCAAAACATTTTTCATTTATACGTACGTTCGACTTGGGGTGAACGAAATATTTAAAAAATGCGTTTGCTCAATATACAGTTTGCAGTACTCTCTAAATCTGGACCGAGATTACGACTAGCAATGCTGCTAAGTTAGCAATTATTGCTAATTAGCAAATATAACTTAACAAAATTTCATGACATTTGTAGGAAATTTATCCCACAATCACATTTTATTGCTATTTGGTAAAAAAAAATTAAGTACAAGCTTATACAATAGAAATTAAAATCAAGTTAACCTAAAAAACCAGCAAATTGACACCAAAGTTTTGTCAAATTGCTCGGATTGATATAGCAGTGAGCATGAAAACAATTGAAAGATTTCATGCAACATAACAATTTCAATTGCTTAATCATATACAGGGTAGCAAGGAAAATGTTAATCATTTATAAGATATTATTTATTATAAGTACAATAAAATAGAGGATTAAATAATAAATAATTAAATGAAAACGTAAAAGAATCAAAATGAAATAATTATTCAATTAAATATATTAAACCATAATAAAAAATAAATTATAAATAATCATAATGAAATGTTTCTCGAAAATATTATGATTATTTATTAAATAAAAACAATTATATTAATACTATCATATTAACAATATTTATGAAATGAAATGTTTAAAGTCTTTTTTTTGAATTAATATGAAATCAAATGTTTCTATTCTTATCAATTAATATAGTTTTTAAGTGTGTATTTTTCTGTAAATAATTCATAGGTTAACCTAAATCTGTCAAATGATTAGAATTTTATTGAACACCCGGTAGCAATATTTTTTTCCAGCGTGAATATAACTGACATTGCCAACTAGCAGTTTGCTAACTTAGCAGTATTGCTTGTCGGAATCCCGGCCCTGAATTAGTAAAAATGTTTACTAATTTGAATTAGTGACTCACTTTTTGCTTCTGAATTAGTGAAATTTTACTAATTAATAGTAACTGTTACTAAAAATTAGTAAAATTTAACTAATTCTTAAGCAAAAAGTGAGTCACTAATTCAAATTAGTAAACATTTTTACTAATTCAGATTTAGAGAGTAGAGAGCACTAGGAACTTCAGCTACTAATTGAGAAAGATATCTATTGCCCGCAGCTCCAAGTTTAATATACGACCCGTAGATACTTGCGCGAGCATTGCACTGATATTTAAAATTGACCAATAAGATAAGCTTGCTACGGGGAATCCCGTATTAAACATCAATCGTTGTCACACGAGTGGCGCACTCGTATATTTGGAACGACTTATTTTTAAAACAGCGCGCGCTAAGTTGATCCATAAGGTGAATCCAGTAAAATTTTGAATTTCGTGGTGAGTGTCCAGTTTCTATAAATGTAACTTTGCTAGGCCATTATTTGAAATTGACCTTGCTGTCGCATTTACCATCAAATGTCGCCGAGTTGCGGCTTTTACAAACTTCATTTTTTAAATTTTGATTTTTTCTATTCATAGAAGACAAAAGACTTACCTCGTTGAAGTAGAACGCTACTTTGTTGTGTTCTGCTGCTAGGCGTAAGTGAGGAACAATTCCACCTGTGCCACATAAACTGATGCTGGCATTCGGATATAGCCATCTGCAGACCTTTAACAGCAGCACCTGTTACGTCCGGCTTTTTATGACATAGCTCTCGCTGTTCCTTAGTTAAACCTGGTATTCCATTACATACTACAGAGTTTCCACTCATCCATTCATCCATAGAATTACTTATGATGCATGTCACTCTACAATAAAAAAATTAATTTGTCAGAATTACCATTAATTGATTACTCTAAGCAACAAATTTTAACATTATTTGGACGTCCGCATGAAAAGCGACCACTTTGGAACTACATTCAATACGTGACCGCATCTGAAGAAGCTTGTTTACGACTTAAAATCAATTTTTTATCCCTCATGCATAAACATCCCAGCAAACACTGTTACAGGTCAGTTATAGAACTGTTACAAATGTTTTAAGAATATGTGGATATAATTCCGAAGTAGGGGTTCCTCCAATTTTCATAAAACTTGGTATACTAACGTATTTTGGTGCGCTTTGTTTGGCGGGGGGATCACATACAATGACTGTGATTGGTATATATTATGTATTAGTTTTCATGGTTTTTTGGATTTTTCTCGAAAAATTATTACTTTTGGTAAAAAAATTTATAGGAGATAAAATGTGTGTTTTTTTAAGACCTACAACTTTTGTTTAAAACATTTTTCGAAATTTTGCGTTTTTTACGAGTTAATCGCAAAAAACGATGATTTTATGGTGTTTTTTATGATTTTTACCATGATAATCAAATTTGCACCAATTGTCACTATCATTTTCGTAATCAGCGCACCAAAATACGTTAGTATACCAAGTTTTATGAAAATCGGACGAACCCCTCCTTCGGAAGTACACCCAAAGAGATTCTAAAATAAACATAATAAATAAATAAACTTTCTAGAAAACTTTATTTTTGGTGATGTTTTTTGGTTTCAGCGACTCAAAAAACATAGGATTAGACACCCTACTCGACTTTTCGTGAAAAATGAAATTCCAACCCCCTCCCAGGGGTTGTAGGGGGTTAAGGGGGTAAAGAATTTGTTTTTGATGGTGTTTTTTGATTTCAGCCACCAAAAAAACATAAGAATAGATACCGTTGTCTATCCTAGTCTCATGTATAAGCTACTGTGTGTGGAAAAAGGAAAGACGAAGCAATTTTTATGACAAATGAGTTTTATGTCAAATGAATTACCTATTTTTTAAAAATTATTTTAATAGAATATCCCAAACTTTTGCACTGTTTCGAACATAATATCCTACATCTTAAAATTTTAGACAAGTACCGCCAGAGGGATATAAAACATTTTTTTAATTTTACTTTCTGATATCGTTTATAATAATAATAATTTTTAATCTCTTGTGCAAAAAGGAAAGAGAAAAATTCAGGATATCTGCCCAAAGAGCACGTAATATTACGTTAATATCACAGTAAAATTACATGAAAGATTTGTAATATTACGGTGTAATATATACAGTAATATTAAAATGTCCGCATTTTAATATTACAGATAATATTGAGGTAACACTACAAGTAATATTGAGGTATCACTACCAGTAATATTGGGGTAATATTACAAGTAATATTGAGGTAAAATTACACTGTAATATTAAAATAATATTTAGATAATATGTATTACATCACTTTATATTTAATGAAAAAGTTTTGTCATGGCGGGAATCGAACTTCAGTCAAGACTCTTAACCAATGGACCACTTGTACTTGTAATATGACTTGAACTTTTTGTGAAATATAAAAAACTTTCAGCAACGAATGTATTTATATCTTTCGCAAAAAGTAAAAGCCGTACTACAAGCACAAGTGGGCCATTGGTTAAATTGATGTACGGTAGGTTCCAAGTTATCGATTCCCCCCATGTCAAAATTTTTTCATCAAGTATAAAGTCATGTAATATTATCTAAATAGTATTTTAATATTTCAGTGTAATGTTACCTCAATATTACTTGTAATATTATTATCATGAGGCGGACATTTCAATATTACTGTAATATTACGAATCTTTCATGTAATATTACTGTGATATTAAGGTAATATTACGTGCTGCTTGTGTGGTATTTTTTCAGATTTCGCGATGACTTTCCTATGTGTGAAAAAAACATAATTTTATTGCTTGTAGTATTTTTTGACAATCTCTCATGTGTCAAAAGACGGACATAGTTAATTAAGGTATAAAACTTAGTTAATGACTAAATTAAATATACCACTGAAAATTGTAATTCAATTTGGTATTAAAATATATAAGAATTGAATTTTGAAATAAATTTCAAAATAGTGTGCATAAACTATTCGCTTTTTTCCCTATCTATTTTTTTAAACCATGTAAAATGATTTTTCTTTTTTTGAACTGCCATTAATAAACTCTAAAGACATAGGTCAGTCCAGATACTGCTAAAAGCTGTTCTTTTGAAGAAACAAGGTTACAGTATCGGAAATCTTATATGTCTGTATTTTATGACTTCTGTCTCATAAAGAATTAATACGTAAAACAGACTCACTTGCACAATCTTGAAAACATATAGAAAACTAAAATACACATGTATTTTAGTAAACAAAAAGAAGAAGAGAAAAGAAAATTAAAAATCAGTTTTATTAAAATTTAAAATGTTCATTCCATCATTTCTTGGTTATAATAAAATGTCGAATATTGATGCTTACAATTAATTTTGAAATCTTTGAAATACTACCTTAGGGGTCGTCTATAAATGACATCACAATAAAACGAACATTATTACATCTATATTTTATTATTTATTATAATAATCATCTTTGGGAATTTGTCTTCCATGGCACAGTCTTATTAGGAACATTTGTTACATAATAATTAAATATAAATTAACAAAACGTAGAAAAGTTAAATATATCTCCATCTTCACTGAAAGAAATGGTTTGGGGTAACTGACAAATAAATATGGTTGGGGTTTTGTTTTCAACTGGCGATAAAGTTAGGTTATGTTACCCACTTTTTTGGTGATTTAAACATCTATATGTATGAAACGCCATTATGTGTGGCTGAACTGTCTATATAAAATATAGCTGTATCCAAATAGCAGATTACCAATTCATTACACTCAGAAAAAAATTCCTTTGAAGCAACCAAATTTTGGTTAAATCAACAAAATAAATGCATTGATATACAGTTAACCAACATTTGGTTGCATAAACCAAACGTTTATTTAGCTCAATCAAATTTTTTCTTTGTTCAAAAAATTTATTAAAATAAACCAAACAGTTATTTAGATCAAATAAATATTTATTTGAATTGAACAAATTTTGTTTGAACTAACCAAAAATTAGGTAAATATAAAAAAATGGTACATTTGGATCAAACATATCTTTTTTCTGAGTGTACGGGAAAACTAGGAATAATTCTAACTGTACCAACGAATTATTTCTTTCAGTGTAGCCCTCCCCTGCGGGTAAGATGGGATACTCTAAGAAATAAGCTTGGGTTTGCAAAGAAATTATCCTATTACACTGAGAAAAATATTTAGTCAGAGCAACCAAAATTTGGTTGGGCCAACAAAAAAATTTTTGTTGGTATTTAAGCAACCAAACTATTTGTTTGTGTCAACCAAAAAATTTGGTTGAGTGTTTTTTGTTGGCATAACAAAAAAGTTTGGTTATCCCAACCAAATTTTTTTTGTTAGGTCAACAAAAATGTTTGGTTCATCAAACAAACAGTTTTTTTGTACACTGAGAAAAATAATTTCGTAATAATAAGAAAATAATTTAGTTGAGCTTTTTTAGTTGGCGTTACTAAAATATGGTTGTCACAACAGAATAGAAAGTGGCAATAAATCGGGAAGTTTAGTTGGCTCTACCAAAAAATATATTTGAAGCTTTCATGTTTACGAACTAAATAGTTTGGTTCCCAGTACTAAATAGCTGACATGCTGTATTGCGCACGCGCTCTTCTCGTAAATATGGCGTCGCTTCCCATTCACGGGATGTCAACATTAACCATATGTCGTTCGCGTCGTGAAGTTTCAGTGTTGAATTTTTTATGTTTTTCAGACATTTTTTAAAAAAAAAAGTTTGTGTAGTGAAAATAAATAAATAAAACTTGTTACAAGAACGAAAGTTTTTTTCCAGCTTTTATACATTGTGAAAATGATTTAATCTCAAATTGTTAGTAGGATTCGTAGAGTAGTGGTCAGCGTTCTCGACTAGCGTTGCGTAGTCTGAGGGTTCGAGCCCCAGCAGTGTTAGGTTTTTTCCGCGATAGAAATTAATTTAAGTAGGCATAGGTAGGTTATATAAAGAGAAAAGGGTGAAACAAAAAAATAAGTTGGTTGAGAAAACAAAAAAAAAATTTTCATTTAACTAAATTTTTTGTTTGCTTAAAAACAATAAGTTAGTTGTGCAAAACAAAAAATTTGGTAGACCGAACAAAATGATTCAACGAAAAAATTTAGTAGCCCGAACCAAACGGATTAGTTGCACATATATCAAAATTTGGTAGAGAGAACCAAACTTTGGTAGATGATACTAAACATTTTTCTCAGTGTAAAATTAAAAATTTTATTCTACCTTATTTCTTTTCTTTTTTTTATTCATTTCATTATTTATTTATTATCAATTTAACATTGAATTTATATTTATCCAATTGAAATATTTGTGCACTGGGAAAAAAGGTTTGAGCTGACAACCAAATATTTCATTTAATATATGTGCAACTAAAATTTTTTGGTTGACACAACTAAACTTTAGTTGACATCAACCAAAGTTTGGTTGAGACTACCAAATTCTTTTTCATTTTCTTATTTAGTCGTCTGAAACAAACTTTGGTTGTTGTCAACTAAAGTTTAGTTGTGTCAACCAAAAAATTTTATTTGCACATATATTGAATGAAATATTTGGTTGTCAGCTCAAACCTTTTTTCTCAGTGTGGACTTTGAAAAATCTCATCTCCGCCTGGGATCGAACCTCTGTTTTAAAACTGAAGTTCGGTAGCTCTGAACACTGGACTACCCATTCTTGTGAGAGATTTAAACTAACTGTTCTCTTAAGCTATGAGCTAAGAGCGAATCAAACTATTTGGTTAACGCAACCAAATTTTAGTTAGGACAACAAACGATCATTTGATTTTTTAGACCAAACTATTTTTGTTGCAAATATTAAATTATTTTTCTCAGTTGCGAAACTACACTTAAAAACTGACCAATAAT